CTATTGCGCTCTCTTTCTAACCCGTAGTTCTCTCTCTCCCACCCATTGCAGTCCTGTACTTACACTATTGTGCTCTCTTTCTGACCCGTAGTTCTCTCTCTCTCTCCCACCCATTGCAGTCCTGTACTTACACTATTGCGTTCTCTTTCTAACCCGTAGTTCTCTCTCTCTCCCACCCATTGCGATCCTGTACTTACACTATTGCGCTCTCTTTCTAACCCATTGTCCTCTCTCTCTCCCACCTATTGCAATTCTGTACTTACACTATTGTTCTCTCTCTTCCTCTCGTTCCGTTTCCTTCTCGCACGCGATTTAATTAAACAGATATTTTCGAATTTTAAGATATGACTAAGCAATCAATTATTTTTCAGTGTAACTGCTATCGAGCATACCGTACAATATATCGTAAGAATGCACTCTAACCGTTTTTGTACCCTTTTTTTTTGTACCCCTTTTTTGTCTATGGGACGACGCCAATAGAGTTTATTTTTACGACTGCGACAAAATCGTCCCTTCGGAAAAGCTGAAACTTGTCGAAACATGTTAGAACGCGCTAATACTTAACTAGAAGAAAGGCTTGGGGAAAAGAAATTAAAACATATTATATATATTTTTAAAAAATTTCATATTTTTATTTATTTAAATTTGTAACGATGCACCCATCGTCCCAGCCAGAACACCCGGCCGGACGCCGCTGCATCGCCACGCGATGCAGCGATGAGGGCGCATAAGCGCCCGATAAATTCAAAGCATAATTCACAGGTACACGGTGGCAGTAACGGCCGTGCCGCGCCGAGCACCACCGAAAATAGATCGGCTCTCGCGAACTCCCACCGCTCAAAATCGCGCACACCGCAAGTACCGAGCGGCGGGAAAGACCGAGAAAATGCGAAGCCTCGCGAACAAGGCATTTTGACGAGCGATTAAAACTCGGTAGTCAGAGCGAAAAGGGACCATTCCTGTTCCTGACACGAATCCGTCCGCAACACCAAAATCCTCGAAAGCCTTGCGAACCCATAGTAACCGGGTTGGAGAGTTCTCCGACTCCGCTGAGAGTTCTCAGCTGGTGAGCAAGAGCCACAAGACACCGAACGACGAGAAAAAGGGGCAGAGAATACTCTGCCTCTGTCGAGAATTCTCGACAGTCGTAAACGCCGAACACTGCATCTCACTGCAGCACGACTGACCAGCATTCGACCGGGGGTGAAGAGTTCTTCGCCTCCACCGGGAGTTCCCGGCCGCTGGTCGTCGTTAACTCACGCCAAAACACCGCGTAAATACCGCTGACAGTCTGCCGTACTAGTCTAGCTATAAATAGCGACACAGCTGATCGGCCGCAATAAGCGTTGTTCGCGTAGAAAAAGCGGCACAAGGGCTTTAAACGGCCAACACATTGCGCGCGCGCGCACGCGCGCGCCCACACACACACACACACACGCACACACACGCACACGCACACACCCACACACACACGCCGAACGGCGTGCTTCGCAACGCACGGCTCGTATTGCGCCAGCCGCTCAGACGACTTTCTTTCTTCCGTTCTTTCTTTCTTTCTTTCTTTATTTTTTTATGCTTTCTTTTGTTCACTGTAAATATATAGAGTAATTGCGACAAAGCAAATAAAAGCGGATTTCTTGTATAAGATCTTGTCCGAGATGCTCAACCTGCATTTTCCTCCGTTCGAACCTCTTTCGTATCCTGGAATACGAATTAACCGACGAGCTACATCCGCACATACGAAAGTTAGGTCGTTACAAATTTAATACATTTTTAAAAAAAATTTCATATTTATATTTATTTAAATTTGATACAATTCTTTTTGGCGTTGCGACCACCAATTGTATATTTTAAATACATTTTGTAACGCACAGTTCTTAGCATGTTTTACACATCGCATAGTATTAGTAACATCTAGATTATTCAGTGATTCTATATCTTCGTAATCGGCATCGAGGGTTTCAATGATCAAGTCGTCACTATCGAGTATATCGGCCAACCATTGGCGTTTTTCACGTCCTTTAACGTACACAATAGCTTTATTGTCGCCGTTCCATTCCGCACCAATTACAGCCATTGTAATCAGACGTTTCGTCATGCTGTACGGTATCATCCCGTCTTCCCATTGCAATCCATGGTGATAAGCACCCAGCCAGGAGGCGCAATACTTTTCTGATTTTGTCAAGTAATTCCATGGTATGGGGCATGTAAAAATGTAATGAGAAAGAATGGTCCCTTCTCTCAACACCGCCACTTCCTTTGCGACAAATTCCTTTCCAACGATAAATCCTTGCAGATCGACAAACGTTGGTATAGTCATGACGAAGGACTTTTCAAGACTGTGCTCGATCACAAAAAATCTTGGTTTTTATATCTTATATTGAAAGGGGGGAAGATATTTTATTTTGCAACGTTGTAATTTTACGTAATCTTGCGCACTACGTTGGACATTGGGCTGTATTCGATCACGCGATCGTGTATGATAAGACAATAGGCAGTAGTATTCGCGGGTACATTCTCTTTGAATTCAAATTCTAAACGCACATCCACGGTGCCACTTTTGACAGACTCGTTTTGTCGAGAGCAGTCAATGATTACCATAGAAAACATATTCTTAAAAGCATCTGGCTTGAATAACGTTTCACTTCTTTCGCGGAGGATTTGATAGTAAGATGTTCGGAAGTGTACGAACATATCGTACAAAATGGCGGTTCTGTTTTTGTCAAAGTCTAGATTTAGATCATCGTATGGGAAAAATTCAGAATTCAGATAGAGTTTCACGTTGGTTAATTTACAACTGTCGAGGAAAGTTTTATGTGCTGACATGTTGTTTTTTTTATTAGTTTGCAGAGCAAGGATGACATATCGCGGCTTTTCGAGCTGAGTCGCAGTCTTGATAGCCCACGAGTGCTTCGTCGTACTCGGTAATAGAGGATACTCGTACAGATCCAACGAACGGAAATTCATACTCAGATATCGTCCGTTCTCTAAGATACGCAACATAGACAGTTTATTGACTTCGTTCAACGTAACGTGAGGCATTCGCCACTGTATCTTGAACAATTCAAGTTTCGGCTCTGTCGCTGCATCTCCCACGATGCAATTGTTGTCGTTGCGCGCTCGTATCAAAATCAATTCGTGACGCGCGTTGATTACCACACGTTTGTAATCTTCGCAAAAGCCAAACAACGTTGACAGCGGTACGTAAAAACTAAAATATCCATCCTGTGTTACTAATCTTCTTACATCGTAATCAAACACCGGATGTACAAATCCTGCATTCTCCATTTGACTTGTGAAGTCACCTGAAAACGATGCATAGCTCTTCAAAAGAGTAGTTATTCCAACGTTTCTATTACGATCAATCTCAGAACCATTGAGTTCGTATCGAATTTCCTCAAACATGAACGCCACGCAATTATCCAATAAGCGCCAAGCTTCGGCCGCCGTTCCGCATTTTCTTCTTTTGACGTAAGTCTTCCTTCGACATAGAGACAGCTTTCACAGGGTAACGTGTATAAATCCTGCTGTTGTATGGGTATCCTTATTTCATCGCTATGTCCAAACGTTGTGTTCACGTACGGATTGTACGTGTGAAACTCGTACTTGACGATGCGATCGTCAAAGATCGGCTCGCCTCCAATATCCAAGATATCAGCCATCTCAAATATTTCGTACGACAAAGCCCAATGATTGTAAAAATTTAACGTTCGACGCAGTAAGTTTCTTTCTATTGAACGATCGAATGTTTTTAATCGCCACCGTCCCTCTGTTAAAAATTATGTCTCTCGTCTGTTTCGTCTGTACGTTGGTAGTTACACCCTTTGGCACTTTTGGCAATTGTTTGACGTTTTTTTTTTCCAATCTTTTTAATTTTTTTCCTTGAGATTCCGCGACCACGCTTGTACGGGGCGAGATAAACTCCATGACCTTCCATGACGCGATTATGACGTTTCAATTCTTCCAGTTGACGTTGCGCGGCTTTACTATCGTTTATAGCCTTCGCGACTCCTGCCGCGCCGTCGACCAACGAGCCTACGACTCCCAGCAGCGATAACATAGGTAAGATACCACCGCGTTTTGCTACCGGAAGTATTCGCCTTTTCGTAGACTTCTTTTTCTTCGTTTTCAAGCCCATACCGATTTTCGTCTTGGCTTTCATAGCCACCCAGACAGCTGTAGCAGCAGCTCGCTCTCCGAGAGTCGAATCTTTCGCAGTAATGCGTTTCCGCGCCTCCTCTGCGAGTATGTTGTCAGCTACGTGCCGTTTCGCGAGATCTTTACACTGCGAATAAGCTATGTCGTGTTCGCGACACGCCTCGTCCAGCGGATTAATGCCTCGATCGCCTCTAGCCAATCGCTTCACTAAACGTGTTCCTGGACCGCAAAATTGATATCCGGGAATATGCAATTCGATCGGAAGTGCGTTTATCGCGTGATTTAAAAGACCGCAACCTCTTGTCGTTGACATTCGCTACAATCTTTTATAAACGGCGCTGGACCATCGATGTGCGATCGATGACAGGGCAAATTGTAATGTTTCAAGCACCGACGATGTTGCTGTACCTCTGAATCAGCCTTTATATATTCAGGCAATCTGTCCCACAGTCGATCTATGTAATTCTTAAACTCTCGTAGCAAAATAATTTTCGGTATGTATTCCAACTCTTCGGCTGTTAAACTATGTACATCGCAGTTGTCCGACACGATAAGAAGCATTTCGATTACTGAGCGGTATCGCTCAACGCGCTACTATAAATAAGTCCGCTCTCGATGTCGCTTTGTTTTCATTTTGTATCAGTGTCGTGGAAGGAGAAGATATGAAGTTCGTGCGACAATCGCAGACGATCAAAGTGACTAATGTCGATGATAAAGTACAGACTGAAAAAGAAATGCGCAAGCATGGAAACATGCTGCCGATTTCTATACGCGGTGTCATCTGCGGTCCATCGAACTGCGGTAAAACAAACGTGTTGATAAGTTTGCTGGAAAGTCCACATGGCGTACGCTTCGAGAACGTGTACGTGTACTCGAAATCGTTGCAACAGCCAAAATATCGATACTTGGAGAATTTATTAGAACCGATTGAAGAAATAGGTTATTTTACATTCTCCAATAACAGCGATGTAGTTCCATCGAACGAGGCGCTTCCAAATTCCATTTTTGTCTTCGATGACGTAGCATGCGACAAGCAAGACGCGATTAGAGAGTACTTTGCGATGGGTCGACACGCGGATGTCGATTGTTTCTATCTCTGTCAGACGTATGCAAAGATACCGAAGCATCTCATACGCGATAATGCGAATCTATTGATCCTGTT